CCACGCTGTCAAGTGCCCTCTTGCAGCGGGGGCAGAGCGGGGCGAGTTGGCCTCTAGGGGCTAACGGAGGCTGACCGCCACGGCCACATCCAGTCCGGACCTCGCACCGGCCCACGCACATCGCCGGCTGCCAAGCGCACAATAACTGATTCCGGGGAATACCGGAAGGTCACCTTGGAGGCGGTGGCCGGGGAAGGAGAGGAAGGAGAAATGATTTCAATGACTGTCATTTCGCGTGCGTATCGAGTCCGCCACAACGCAGCAGGAAGCGGAAAGAAAGGTTGCAAACCTATAAATCTACTAACTTCAGTGGCACAACAGGTGGGAAAGTGTTCTGTCACCTTCTGTAATTTAAAACATCCTTTAAATTTACACTTCGCAAGCGTCGGACTAAATTGTGTGGCTAATGTATGTAGGTAATCATCACTGAAACTGTTCGCCCGGTTTGGTTTGTCATCGTCAAAATAGGAAGGGTGACTTAATCAAATAATAAAATTCTGATAGATATAATATGCGATACTAAATGTTTGCAACTGTCGTGAATTGGCGTACAATTTGTTTAAGAATAATACCGAAAAACAAATTTAGCGTTTCCAGACGTAAGCTTGGTAGTCCATTCTGTCAACTTTTAATAACCACTACGAATTTCCTTGGAAGAACAATATTGCCTACAAACACGATCTAAAGAATTGTTTCTCTATTAATAATCCGGTTTAAAAATCTGATTGAAATCGATTCGAAGTATACTTTCAGAAAGTGCGCGATCTCATTTCTTAAGGAGCACTCTCGCCCACACTTTACTCACTACTTTCAAATTATGTATGTATGTATGTATTTTAATATGAATTTATTTTATTTAATTCATTTACTAACACATTTTGTGGAATTATTTTGTTTATTGTGTTTTGGAGGCCCTTCAACTGAAGAAGTCATTGGCCTTTGAGTTAAGTTAATCATTAGACCATAACTCCTGGGTTTCAATGACCCTAATAGTTGAACTAAGAATTTTGACTTTGGAGCAGAAAATTACATTCTCTCAGGTGATAGAGCTACTGATTTAGGTGACAGCAAACCGGTTGAATCAGAGAGGGGATATAGAAACAAAACAAGAAAACGGGCCTGTTCATCAAACGCGGAGTACAGGGCATCACACCCGGGCCACAGTTACGAAAAGCGCATGCGCTAGCTACTGACATCACAAGCCTCCCGCCCTGTCAGCCTCCCAAACGACAAAAGTGTGATAGAAGCCAAAACATCGGCGGTCCAAAACCCATCGTACGTCGCCTCGAGTGTTTTCGCAACGGTAGCGGCGGTCGCAGGGTGGCATTGCTCGAGCCCCCTGTAACTCAGTGGGCGGGGCCGCTCCGCTCTCGGACCTCTCATTTCGCAAAAATTCCTCCTCGCTCCGGTCGCGATTGCCAAAGCAACCGCGGAAAACCGCCATCGCTTACGGTTGCGCGAAGATGAGCGAGTACCAAAATCTGCGCGCTAGAAAGGGAAACTTTTACCACACTGAAGTGCGAGAAACTGGAACAAGCGGTTCAAAAAAGAGCAATTCACGCAGAGGCACGTTCGAGATGGCACTCACTGTTTTATCCACACAGTTTCAGGCCGGGCAAATACAAGCGTATATGGCTACAACCTTGTGAAAGAAACCGTCTCAAACGATGGACTGATCAACTAATGTTTCCGACCACGTCAACTGCTTTGGTCATTAGTCCCGTACGTGTAGTCAATGTTTCACCACAAGAAGGGGTGATGATTCTCCCCCGGTGGATGCAGAGGCCCGGTGCCTGCCTACACGTCGGCTAGCCGGGCCGAGCTTTAAGCTCCCAACTGGTTTGGTATTTTGGTGCATGTAAGTGTGTGAGTGTATGTAAGTGGGGAGGATAGGGCAAAGAAGAGGATCGGAAGATCGAGCGCGGTCCATGGCCTATTTATTAGGGTACTCCTCCGTCTTTCGCTTGATCTTTATTGAAGAAAAAACACGGTAAACTACTGATCAGAATTTTCCTCCTGATACTGGCTAAATCCGACCTAGTTATGTAGCTAGTCGAAAATCCGCCACAGTCGGGACTCGACCCAAGGGCCTCCCTTAAACATGACATTGCTGGCTCTCAGCTAAACTCACCCGGTGAACACTAACGGAAATGTACTTGGTTCTGGTTTTAGTCAAAATATCTGCTCGTAGCAAATCGTATCCTGACATGTAAGGTAGAGTAAGGTATGTAAGAGTCATTCACCAGGTATTGATCACAGAAAACAAGGAAAACTGCTGGTCACTAGAAGTCTCATCCACACAACCACTGTATTCAACCTAATGTCGAAAATCCGCGATGGAAGAGACTCAAACCTTAGAATCTCCCAGTCAGAGCAACTGTTGAGTGAGCGCGAATGATGGTTCTGAACTCACCCTATGGTTGCGCAAATCCATATAAGTAAAACAGTGCATACTCGTACCACGAATAATAGATCCATCAATCTACGATTAGACGCGCCATCTTACAGATTTTCCCAACCGAAGCTGGTTCGACTTGCATTCCTGAGAGTGTTCCGTGCGATGGACAAGAACCTCTGCGAGCTTTTCAAAGAGAGAGAAATACGAGAACGTTTCAACTCCAGAGTTGAGTTTTGGGTTCGAATCCCGCCCTGAGAATGAGAATCTCGTCCTGAGAATGTTTCTCATTATCTTCTTCAGATATTTGGGTCACTTAACAAGAATCTAACACCATTTTTATAAAAATGTAAACACCTTTAATAATATGGGCCATCATTTTAAAAATGCGCTAAAATTAAGTTTCAAAATTCAAAATAGGTTGTGACATTAAATTCGTCTGCAACGAAACCAAAAAAAATGGTTTGTTGTCAAAATACATTAAAATAAGAATGTAGGTAATATTCTTAAGTCTCAAAAAGCATAGTTTTTGTGTTTAAATGCCGTTTAAATTCCAACTCAGTGGCACGAGTTTAAATCATCATCCAAATCGGTTGTAATGTTATGTCTCTTTTTTTCCATCAATTCATGCATTCTGAATCGACCTAATAGCGAGAAGTAGACATTAGACCTATCATTTTGTAAAGGCAAACCTAACATTTATTATTTCAGCTTGATATAAAATATCTATAATTCCTTATTCATAAAATAGTTTTAATTATAGAAACAATGCGAGTGAAAGTGACTAATATTTGAAGAGAATCCGATTGAGAGTAGGGCACGGCGCCTGTCAGCTTCCTGCAAAGCACACTTTTCGTGCTCTTCCGATAGCAGGGGGCGAAGACTCTCTCTTCCTGAGAAGCCGGACGCCCTCTCGACCTTGATCTCTGCACAGCCCACGCCACACCACGCCACGCCGCGTCGCGCCGCGTCGCGCCGCCCAGTCACGCACGGCACGCGCGCGCCCTCTGCGCGGCGCGCCGGCTGACTCACTGTCCGCCCAGCTCCCGCCGCCCCGCCACCCTCCATCACGCCAACGCGCTGTAGCCCGGACCCGCCTCCACCCTTACCATCACCGCGACACCCACCGCCATCGTCGCCACCACCGCCATCCCCATCACCATCACCATCACCGTCCCCATAGCCATTGCCACCGCCATCACCACCGCCATTGCCACCGCCACCACCATAGCCACCAACGTGGCCACCACCATAGCCACCAACTTGGCCACCACCATAGCCACCAACGTCGCCACCACCATAGCCACCGCCACCACCATAGCCACCGCCACCACCATAGCCACCACCACCACCATAGCCACCGCCACCACCATAGCCACCGCCACCACCATTGCCACCTCCACCACCATAGCCACCGCCATAGCCACCACCATCACCATAGCCACCGCCACCACCATAACCACCGCCACCGCCAGCACCATAGCCACCGCCAGCGCTACCGCCACCGGCGGTACTGCTTCCACCATCACCGCCGCCACTGCCACCCGCCAAACAGCGCCTCGTCTTCGAAGTAGGCTGTATCTCTGTGCCATTTCCCCACTGTGCCCCTTTTCCCTCATATCATGTAATGCCGTCCATCACGTTTCAAGCTTAATAAACCTAATTGACACCCAATTATTCGAATTTTATGATCAATAATTTATTACCAATTCACAGACTTTCCAAAAATGTGAAGGAGAAGTACAGATCATACATTTTTAAAGTTGACACAAATCGGCCCAGTAGCGGAAGTTCAACCGGTTTTGCCAAGACCCATGTCAGTTTGTATCTAATGACTATAATTTGAGTGGAGATTTATAAATTAAAGATTCAGATAGTAACTTTATAAACATCTTTGAATGATTAAATGGAAACGGTTCCGAAAATTCCCACAAATCGAAGCTGATTTCAAAATTCTGACTTACTGATTGTCTCTTGACGCAGAAAGAGGCTGATAGGATTTTGAAAATATAAAAGAAAAAGTTGTGTAGAGGTAGTTATACAGGTAGTGTGATTGAATGAATGAATGAACATTAAATAAGAGGAAATTACGAAGTATAGGAGTAACTAGAACGAGAAATGAAAATACCCAGAACTTTTAAAGAACGAACAATTGTTACGACTGAAAGAGACACAACAACAAACAACGACTATTAAGTATGATTGAAAGGATCGCAAAATAATGCGATTTCTCTTAATAGAATTGCACAATATCGATTGTAGATACAGCGAGTAAAAAAATATATTACCCACTACCAAAATTTGTTTATATTTCTTTGATTCAATGATATTATTGCAAAGAATTCGCAAACAATATGCCGATTTTTAGTGAATGTAAATGTTGCAAGTAAAGCAATGAATGTCGCCGCAAAGAATTACATTATCGTAAATCCATTAGAGAATAAACTGTTTTTATAATACCACGAATGATAGCTTACTGTAATAGATAAAAAGAGAGTACGGTGTTTTGGCGGCGTCTCATCCCACTTTTTTAATAGCACGTATCCCTTTTGCGGCTGCACTGCGGCCTTCGTCACTGCAATCTGAGACGCATTGGGGTCTGCTAGATAAAAAGAGGTGAATGAAAGTTGTTTGACGCTCTTTCTCTCCCCGGCTCCCGCCGACTGAGATTGCACTGAAGATGGTCGCCATTCGGCCGTAAAATCTTTATGTGTTATTGATATCTATAATGAGACCACGTCGAAACTTTCTATTAACAGAACATTATAAATCTTATACCACTTCCTATTATTAAATAAGTTTCAAATTTCTTTCAACCATGTGCTTTGTCGAACAGGGACTCAATGTAGGACACCCATGTTTAGTTCATTATAAATAATTGTTAATGTATTATCTGATTATTTAATTGAGTTCCTTTGCATTATGAGGAAGCAACTTCTTCCAAAATTGTTAAATAAACATTAACGTGGATGGCTGCTTTGATTTAATAGAAATAAATCGGTTTGTATTTCATTAAACGAATGATAATATTTGACGCTTCGATTATAAAGGACAAAGAGCTCGCTATATCTCTTGGATCTTCTTTACCTCTGAAAACTTTAAGTACAATTGTACTACAATACATAAAAGTTATCCTAAGCGTATGATTCTTCAAATTAATCGCAAAAAATTTCACCTTGGAAGAAAAAGAAGCCACATTTGTTATAATATTCATTATCGGAAACTCTGCAAAAGTGTTCACATACATATCCAAAGTAAACTTCAGTGATAAAGATATGGGTATATTAGTCGATAATTAGGACAAAAAATCACATTATCATTATTATTATTGTTATTATTATTATTATTATTGTAATTATTATTATCTAATTCACGACTTAAGAAGTTATGAGCCTGATAAATTTAAAATATATCCCGGGTTGCAATCAGCTTCCTAAATAACAGATCTATGGACTATCGGTGCCTCTACAATACCACGCGCAAAATAAGGTGTTGTTCCCCATAAAGCAATGTCTTGCACTTCCCAGTCCCATAAATGACCTGGGAGTTAAGCCAAGCTCTTTCACAAATTACGCGGGGAAAAAATCCCAGAGCTCCGATAACTCTCGAGATAATCTATGCTTTTACGCCCTACATTCGGCTGAACTAGATTTGCAAACTCTTATACTTAAGAAGTGTCTGCGCCTTTTTGCTTACGTTTTGATTGCAAGGCACAGCAGTATCTACAAGTAGCTTTTTTTTTCTTCACATCCCGGGGGTAACAATATACGATTTGTATTATTATTATTATTATTATTATTATTATTATTATTATTAATAATAATAATAATAATAATATTCCGATTATTTTATTACTATCATTACTACCAAAATAAATTTGAAATGAAATATGCACACTCTTGAAGTAATTAACTTCGGTCTTTTTGACGTGGTAGCAAAACCAGCATTGTCTGAAATAATAATTTTTCAAAGAAGGATAAACTCTGTAAGGAACTGCTAAGAAGAGGTCGAAGTCGATATACGAGACCTCAAAGAGGGAGAATGAGAATATCGTGAGAAATAGAAGTTGAAGAGAGCCCCTACGTCGCAAGCCAAAGACTCTCGCAGAGTACACACAAGGAAGTACATATAAAGATGCACGAAGGAAGACTCCAATCTACGCAACACTGAAAGTGCCGTCCACTCAAGTGCAGCTTCGCCTGAATGCGCTGCGCAATCCAATTGACTGCCGGGTGTACCCTGGACCGGTACAGATTGCCTACCTGTTTGTCACGCTGTGGACATGGGGGAGGGACGAACCAGCCCAAGCCCCCACAATGCCAGAGTTCAGGACACCGGATAAATTGAAGGGAGCTGTGTAGTGGATGAATTGCGCGCGGGTTTCAAACTTAAGGCTGCGTTCCCACTTGTTTCAGGCGCGGTTGGAGAGAGTGTAACAGAAATAATAAGATACAATGAAACGTCCGAACAAATGAATGTCGCCATTGTTTTCATATATATATATATATATATATATATATATATGTATATATTTTCATATATATATATACATATATATATATGTATATATTTTCATATATATATACATATATATATATACATATATATATACTCAATAACTACTCTAAAACAAAACTGGGCAAAGATTCTTATCTCATGTTTTGCTATGGAATAATGACATGTATGAAAACAACGGCCTCAGTGTGGTCATTTGTTCGGGTCATATATATTAGTGCAGAAAACAGTCAAAGACGAACACTAACTCGTTACCAGTCGTCAGGAAGTACTAGCAGTCGAGTACTAGGGATACTCTTCCCACCTTCTAAGCAAGTTTCTTCCACTACAATGGCGGCGGGCAACCTCTTCAAATTATTCCGCGACAGCAGCGCTCTCAGAGAGTCTAGTTTACTTCCAATGTCTTTTAACCCGCCCAACGAAGCCCGGGGCGGTAGTGGGGTGGCACAGGGGAGAGACAGAGTATGGAGGAATGGGCAGGGGGGCGGACGACTCGTCGTCCTACTCCGAAGGAGAACACTTCGTTTTCTGTCGTTCTCTCTCAGAGTGGCAGCTCTCACTGCCGGGCTCTCCGCTGCCTCCCACGTGTACCCCGCTTCCGCGAGCTTTCAGATAAAAAGCCATCCATGTTTGCTCCCGTGGAGTACACTCGGTCGTCTGTCGCGACAGAAATTGGGTCGTTAGTAGGGAATGTTCTGGTTTTTGCCGCCTTGATAGGCACGTTGAATGCGAAAATGGTTTCGTTTTTATTCGGATGGGTGTGAAAGTTGCTTCATTTTCACGTCACTTGTCACAGCGTTGAAAAGATCTACGCGGCCTCTAGGTTAGAAAGGTACCGTAAATGCGGTTACCATAATTACTCTTGAAGTGCAGAAATTGTCAAACAAAAGGCAAACCATTCACGTTTTGTAACCACTTAAATTGAAGTTCATAAACTCTACAAATGCCCATACGGAAAATTATTTAAGGATGTATTCACGAACCGAAAATCGATATGACACACAATTACTTACTTCCCCTCCAAAAAAAGAAAGAAAGAAAACCGTATCAATGTTTGAAAAAACTTCAAAAACCTAAAGTGAACATAACCATCACCAAAATACGACTGCCCGTTCAGGTAATAAACGATTCACAAAAAAACGATAATGTCATTATTGTGCAAACGCACTATGTGCACATGTGCATAGTGGTGCAAATGAGAGTAGTTTTATCCCTTCCCTAATACCTACACAGTCTGCTTTTAAACACTTGAATACACATTAATTATTAACCTTAAATGCCCAGTATCAACAGGTATTTTCTAATTTCCATCATTAAATGAAACGCAAGTAATAGGAGTTTTGAACATTACTTCTAAAGGAATGTCTAGTATCAAGACTTGAATCTCTATTAAAAAGTCTCAGATTCAACATTACAACTTCGTTCTGCCCACACACACACCAACACACACACACACACACACACACACACACAGTCCATTTGCCATAACGGATTACTTTTTTTATTAACATAAAAACGCCAGACTTCCTCATTTTCACACATTACGAGGAAAG